ATTGTGTAGAGAATGTGTACTCCATTCCCTAAATTGTGTCTTAATCTGTGAAAACTATGTCATTCCATATTATAGTATTCCAAACTATAATAGCAACATACTGAAATTTAACGAGTGTGGTGCATACAACAAAGTGGAAACGAAATGGAAAATAGTATTTACAGAGACAAAGATCATGTTACCTATGCTAGGAATACCAATAAGTCTTCCACACAAAAATTCCGATTTAAAGGCTTTCGGTATATCTTTTAAAATGAGGAACTAGCTTTATGATGGAAATATTGAAAAACATAGATGAACTTAATTTTGATGTACAGGAAGTGATATACCATATTTATTCAAATTTATTTTTGAGAAAGGATTTTGAGGGGGAGTTCATTCGAGGGAGGCGTTTAATCGAGGGAGGTCTGGCCCGTAACCAGGGGGATCGGGGGTATCGGACGATCCCCCCCCCCCCCAACAGAATAGGGAGTTCAGCTCTACAAGACCAACACAAAACACAACTTTGTTGTCACTATTTTCATAATCTTTCATAAATTACTATATCTATTCTACCATCATTACTATAGTAAGTAGTTTAATAGATATGTGTGCCTTGGCCTTACAATACTATTAAAGCCTACGACATGCACTGTAGTTTTTATGTGCAATTACACTCAAAATACGTTCTGCGCAGTAAAGGAAGAAGATGATGATGATGTTTATGATATGATCCTGTCTGTAGACTACTAAATTTGATCTACTAACATTATTACATGGTATAGCCTACTGCCGATTTTTCAATATTTTCACATTATCAAATATATTCAGTTTTAATTCACGAAAATTGTAATTCTTTTGACAGCAGCTCAAACACACCAGAAGAGCATTTTGAATTAGAAGGTGGCGGTCATAGTTTTTTAAACATTTTTCGAGAGAACCCCTGGACCCCAAAAGTTCCACTCAGATTGAAAAAAGATCCCCCCCCCCCTTCGTTACAAAAGCTTGTTACGGTCCTGAGTAAAACTTTATTTGGAAAAGTAATCTCAAAATCGAGTTGCCGTCCCCGGCATTGTCTGTGACGTCGTATGATTTGCGTGCGATTTTAACCAATTAACCCCTAAGTCAAAAAATAGCTGAGCCATGTAGTACCTTGCAAATTAACCAAGAAACCCGGTAGTTTGTTGATTGTTTATTGGTAACGTCCCTTCGCTGCCAAAAATAGTTTTTTGGCAGTGCGTCCCCGGTGATATCTTGAGGGCATTGCGAAGGCTGGTTACGTTTTGGTGCAAATCGATTGAGCATTTTCATTCATCTTGCCATGTAAGTTACTTCCGTTAAACAATAGTAATAGGTTTAGTCCTATATAATTTTTGGCTTGTATTCATCACTTACTCTATAATTTATTTCCTTAAGTAATCATAATGACTCAAACAAATTTAATTTACTCAGTGGCGTAGCTAGTGTGGTCAAAGGGGCAGGGGGTGCACACACGTGGTTTTGGCCAGGTACTCAATCCTGTCCTCGCTGGAGGCGAAATTCGCGTTCGTTCAGTCCATCCAGGAGGCATGCGTCCGGGAGTACCGTACTCTCGCGAATAAATTAAATATTTTTTTGCATTTTCTGAGGGGCGCTTATTCAAACGGGGCGCTCTTATGGGAAATTATTAAATTCAAGAGGCACTTTTTGAATGAAAAAAAAGATTATAGACCTATAAGGACATTACGAATGGTGGTTAGGTGGAAAAGATAATCGCCTAGAGAACATGGCTCATGACAAGAATGCGTGAAGAATATTTACATAACAGCAAAAACGAAAAAGAGGACTAGGACTAGGCATAGACAAATATGTAAGAAGAGCAAAGTAGGAGATATACTGTCTGTCCAGGGATCGGAGCTCTCATCTGTCCAAGAAAAATATCCTCATTTTGATATTGACCTAAGAAGAATGTGTTTCAACTCTGCAGATCAAATCATGCCAACAACCACAGTTCCAGGATTGATTGGATTATTGACTTGCTAAAAAGAAAATCTTATGATATTATTGAGCTTATTCAAACGGAGCGCTTAAGGAAATTTTGACGCTTATTCAAACGGGGCGCTTATATACGCGCGAGTACGGTAGTGTACTACCGACTACTGAGTTTTAAATTAAGATACTGGTACTCGGGCTGATACTCTACTGCCGAGACTGATCAGGGAGTTGGTCATAACAACTGCATTGGTTTCGCTTCTGCTGCTCAACTATACTATAATATATAATATAATATATAATGTCTATGGAGATTTTTGTATGATCGGAATGAAATGCAAGAAAGAGGGAAGAAGGAGGAGAGGGAGGGGAAAGAAAGTGTTTATGCAGTCCCCGACCGGGTTATTTCTCGCAATTCACATTGGCGGATTTGTTTTGTTTTGTTGTGTTTTTTTTTTCTTTTTGTTTTTGTTTTTTTTGGCGGTGGGGGGCGGGGTCCCTTCGTCTTTGTGGTTCACGATTCACGGAAAGAAGAATATGTATGCGATATACTTTATATATCACATAATAGGCCTACTAGTATTTACTGTAATAAGAACGAGAAAGTTTATCTGACAGTTTTCAAGAGTGTGGGGGGGGGGGGGAACCTTAAAATTTCCAGAATTTAAAGTCATTAAAAAGACACCTCAGAAGTCTGGAAAGCTCCTTCCTTGCCATCTAGGAATCAATATTTTTCCAGGAGGACCCCCCCCCCACCCTTTCTTTTTTGAGTTTTCGTGAAAAAATGACACCCCGCCCCCAAATGTGAAACCAGGTCCGCTCGCTCCAAAAATAAAAAGAAAAAAAAATGATAATCTGAGCAAGATAGACATTGTGTTTTAAAGGCCAAAGGTGCTAAATATATAGAACAATATTTTACTTTTCCATAATCTCAAAATATGATATTGTAATGCCTATCTGTTTCAATAAACCTCACAATTATGATATTGTAATGCCTATCTGTTTCAATAAACCTCACAATTATGATATTGTAATGCCTATCAGTTTCAATAAACCTCACAATTATGATACTGTAATGCCTATCTATGTATGTCACTACAATGCAAACCGTACATGTTCCATATATATCAGCTAAAAAAAAAAAAGATTTTTTGTTTTGCTAATCTTTGATTCATTACTGCCTCTTCTTTTTAAAGTGATCGCTTTTGTCGTTGCTGTCTACTTAACCTATTTCAGGAAGGTTTTTGAGGGGTAGTTATTTGAGGAAGTATTTTTTAAATGTTTGTGTATACAATTGTAATACTAAATAATTCACACTTCATTGTAAATAGCCTACACAGTATGCCACCAAAGCACACAGATCCGGGTTATAACAACAATATTAATTAAATTCTCAGTGAAGGAAAAATAGTATTAAAAATGGTTTACTTTGCATTTATTCGAAATTGAATATTTGGGGGCTTATCCAAGGGGGCGCTTATTCGAAATTTAACATTTGGCATAATTTAGCATAATTTCCCATCAGCCTCGGCATAACTTGATTTGCATCACTGGTCACACTGTTACCGCATTTCTTCATTACTGCTTTAAGTGTGGCCAGTGGAAGAGAGTGTGACCGATATAGATAACAGTGTGTAAGTAGGCCACTTAAATATTGAAATATAATTTATACTTTAAAATATTATATACATAGGCATAAATATATATAAATTTCATGGAAATACATGACGTGGAATCACTGATGTCCAATACTCTTACACCCATGAAAACATAGATATTGTTTTCAAACCGCCATTTTACTTTTGATTTGAGTGTTATTTATTGGTTCTACAGTTCCGAAAAGCATTAAATGTTTTACGTTATCAAATAGTACAATACACGTAGATCTTTAAAAAGAAATTGGTATTATTAAATACAAAACATCCCGTCAAAATTCGAATTAGTAAGCGTCCTTTAAAATACTCATGGTGAACCACGTCACAGCAATACAAGCTGGGATAGCTATAAGTATGTCTGGCCAAGAATGGTCAGCATGTTATTTATATCCTTGACTAGATGGCGATCATTAATAATATTGAAAGGAGGAACAGGCTTTCTCCATAGGACATGAAAATAGAGTATTTTGCTTTACTTTTCATTATATAAACATGCATCTAGAATTCCACCAACGATTTTATTAATATAACTTTACTCTTCACTTCTATGGGTGTGTTGTACTAAATACGTTGAACAATGTCGATTTGATTAAACAACGCGTTTCCAACAAAAAAAAAATAATTGCAATAATACTGTTGGTATTTTTCTCGTTTTGTATTTAGGCATACAGGTGTCATGGTTTCAATTGGTGTTCATTCAAATTGAGCTGAATTAAATTAGAGAGATTCAAATATTAATTAATAGTCTACAATACATACCCCACAAATAATTTCAAATTATTGCAATAGGAATTATTTAAATTAATATATGCCCACTGGAATCTTTTTTTGACATTCTGGTTACCTCCTCATCAAGCGGTTTGACGAACGCCGTCCCATCCAAGCATCAAACATAGTAAGAACTAACACATGATGAAATCAAGAAGTTATTAAGCTTATATATTCTAATAACTTTTTGGTTGAAATTTCATGCTCTTCCCCCACATAATGTACTAACACATTTTGAATATAATTTGTAGTTATAGATCAGTGCACATTTACATTTCAGATTGCCAATAATAACAGGGATTCGAGATATTCAGTAATAGGCCATGGTTGAGGATAAATGGTGAACATGCTTAGTAATCCAATTGCAACTTAAGTATGCTGAGGCACATTGGATTATGAATAAACAGAACATTCCTTTAGCAACTTTATAATTTATCTATAGAATTCTGTAAGAAATCTTTAAAGGTTTTTTTTAAATTTTTTATAGAGAATACTGTAAATAATCTGTAGAATGCTATAGGTTTAGTTAGAATTAATTCTGCAGATGAAATTCATAATACATTATATCCACTAATGGTTTGTTGGTTTACGTTTGTTTGATTTATTATTATTATTATGTATAATGTATATATGCACATTGCACATGGACTAACACATAGGCCGACAGACAGGATTTCAGAATTAAGTTGTGCAACTTAAGTATGCTGAAGCACGCTGAGTGATTATTATAATTGTTAAAACATATATTTTATAAATATTCAATATGATCTATAGACTTCTGTAGGGGTATACTATACAAATTCAATACATAATTTAACTAAGAGTCTGCAGTCATTGACTTAGCTAAATAGTTGTTGATTTCTATAGAGACTCTATTAGGAGGCCTAAAGGAATATTTAATATCTATAGAATTGTAAAAACCAACCATGTTTTTCAATATGATCCAAATATCTCTATAGATATACTGCTATATACATTCAATATACTACTTTTCTAAAGGTCTGTTTAGTATTTAAAAAAAAACTTATTTAGTTTACTTAATTCTTTAGCAATGTAGTTTATCGAATCATATAGAAACTCTATAAACGAGGTTGAAGAAAGTGCTATTGAAAATGTGTGAAATATAGATTACAGTATATTATGTATTATGAAATCAAACATAGGCCTTTATATATTATATAAATTATATAGGTTCTATAGACTTCTGTTTTAGAGGTATTACTATTGAAATTAAATACATGATTTTTCTTTCCTAAGGGTCTGTTTGTATGTTTTTTACTACATAGAACATTCTCTTAGCAAAATGGTTTTAATTTCTATAGAAACTCTATTAAGAAGTTTATAGGAATATTTAAAATTTATAGAATTGTACAATCATGGGCTTATACATACGTTCAATATGATCCAAATACTTCTATAGATGTACTGCTATATACATTCAATTCACTACTTTTCTAAGGTCCTGTTTAGTATGTTTTCACTTACTTAGAACAATTCCTTAGCAGTGTAGTTTATCGAATCATGTAGAAACTCTATAAGAGGTTGAAGAAAGTGCTATTGAAAATGTGTAAAACAGGTTAGAAACCTATAGATATTCTACAGATAATTAATAAGATCTTTATGCTTCTATTTAAAATTCCACCAATCTGTCCATAATTTGCCACATTTTAGATGACATAAATAAATTAGATAATCAAATTGAGCTAACACTTAGGCCAATGATGTATGCATGATAAACCAATTGTGCAACTTCCGAAGCACATTGTTTGAATCAGAAAATGTAACTCAACAACAGGTAGGTGACTAACGCTGCAAGACATCGCTTCGAGCATCCAAGCATCAAACCAAGTAAGAACTAACAATGAACCATGATATGCATTTCTTTCAGCTTCTCCACCTCGTCTATTAACCTGCGTGCGACTGCCTATTTTGTAAACCAACCTTACCTCGTAAATATTTATTTTATTTGTTTATTTTATTCTTGTATACTATTTAGATTATTGGATAACTGTAGCAAAAGATGCCTGTAATTTAGATACTTACTCAGGGCTGAATATGGTAGACACTGCCTGGTGACAGTGATAATAAATACCATAACAGTCTCTACCACCATACCGTGTTTATTGACTTCCTCAGTAGTACCGTTTTAGCCAAGGATTGTGTCGTTCCTTGCACACATAACGTGTATTGTTCGTTGTATTACCCAAGGGGTATTAGCCAAGTGGTACTATATAGTGTACCTTCTTGGATGGCTCCATACTCATTATTTATTTTGTTTTAGCCGATTCAAAATAAATGCAACACTTGTGAAAAAGAAAAACTGTTTCTTTGACTCTTTACTTGGAATCTTAGGATAATGGTCCTACCAAAATAAAAGGTACTTGAATAACATTTTGTGTGTTATTAGACAAAAAGGGTACGATTTAATAGTGTATTGTATTTTGTATCACAGAGAAAGATTGTTACATCTTTCTGTGTGTTTGTATGAATCTTGAAATAAACGAAATAAAAACTTGGTGTCAATGACTCTTTTCTTAAAATTCTAAGCGAGTTTATTTGTAAATTTCATTTTCATTTTTTGCGAGTTTTTGTTTTCCTATTAATTTTACTGTTACATCGTTTTAAATATTGCTTTACTTTTTTTATTTCAGATAAATACTTACTGGTACGGTCACCGTCGAATACTGGATGTGTAAAAACTATTTCTTATCCATGCTTATGTCATCTTTGTTGTTCTATTGTTTTTTGTAACATTCTATTTCATTTTATTTTTCAGATATACTTACGGTCACCTTTCTTGGATATGCGAAACCTGAGTCTGTTAACAAGTATACGGCTTATTAATTCCTTTTGAAAAATCGCCAAATGTCGACACATTCTCAAAGTTTCTATCTGTAAGGTGGTTCTTCGGGCCATGGCCAGGAAATGCAAAAATTAAATATGTTAATGAAGGCGATTATGCTGAGAAAACAAATTTAGGTGTGACCACGCCCCCAAACATGTGGACAAAAAAAAACCATCTACTGGACCTCGATGTATGACACTTATAAAGCAGGAAAGACTGATTTGGTCCCATGACTATTGCTGGAAAGGAAGGAAGGAAGGAGAGCCCAAAATATATCCACCCAAGTATATAAACATGATTAACGTCCACAAAACTATAAACGAAAGAAAAAAAATCACAAACATTGAAGGATATTCATAAAAATATCAAAGTAAAGATACTGCATAATTCTGTCATAAAAATGGTCATTGCTTACATCAACCCTGGCCTATCAATACATTAACATAAGCCTAAACAATATCGCATATTGTTCCCTGGAGTAATTATTGGAAAGCTCAAATAAGATTTAAAAATTGATATTAATTTTCAACATCGTACACTTTTGAGTGCAGATCAGTTTTACCATATTTTTTTCTATCACATTTTCTAATACTTCATTAATCATTTACCATACCGCTATGTCATGTTCTATCCTCTCTCGTACGAAACCCGATGTAGTTATAACTAATTATAACAATTTTTAGGCCTTAGTAATATTTTGAGGCTGAATAACTAGTAAGCTAAGAGTTTACTTAATGACTGCTTAATGCTGCACCTAAACTATAGTTAGGTTAGATTTTAGCTCATCTAGAGTTAAACAGCCGATTTCGTGAAAGAGAGGAGAGGAAGCTAACTTCATATATTAATTTCACATTCGCTTTAACATCAGATTAACCTGTCAGGAGATCTGCATTCATTTGCTGTCCACATACAAATATTTAAATCTATAAATTTTTCAATTATGAGTTGTGTACCCAATTTGTCAGTGGTAGTTTTACAGTAAATATGTCAATTCACAACTCTCTGCTTAAAGAACTTATTATTTTATTTGGTCTATCAGTAATACTTTATAAATACAAGCCTTCATACATTGAACAATACACACGTATATACACAAACAGATACGGCACAGACTAATTAGTTTAATGACAGGAGTGTCGACATTACAAGATATTGTGCAATTCTAGTCCGGGAGGGGTGGGTGGTCTTACTGTTAACCAGTCTACTTATAACAGTAATTTAAATCCATTTCGCGATTATTCGCCAAAAGAAACTACATTAACACCTGTGTAGCTCCTGTGATTATGGATTCACACGAACGAACGAGGATGTCTTCAAATATCAAGTTAAAGGAATGCAACCAAACAAGTTTTTCAAGTCCATGGCTGCTTGTGAGAGGGGACTGCTATCTATGTTATATGTACTGTGTGTGTGTATGTATTATGGTATGTTGGTATGTGTGCATATATATTGTGTAATGTGCGTAGTTCCTATATATATATATATATATATATATATCTGTCTCTTATACACATCTAGATGTGTATAAGAGACTATTCACACATGTGTATGTGTATAGGTGTATATGTATATATATGTATGTGTATATATATGTATGTGTTTATATATGTGTATATGTATATATCTATATAGTGTATATAGTATATATATAATATATATACAGTATATATATATATATATATATAGTGAATATGTGTGTATAAGTGTGCATATTGCATGTTTGTGTGTACGTAAATGTATATAAGAACGTAATAACTTATATTTACTACATGCTTAATTTTTATGTTCTTTATTTTACATGTTTTGATTGATCGAAATGGAGGACTTTATTGCGACACTCTGAAATTGATCTCTTTCTCCTCTGCACGGTATAAATGGACACATTTGGACAATGTGTGAAGATCTGGAGTTACCACTGAGCTCGATCTATATACAGTAGATTATAGTAATCTGTACATTTGATGCTTTGTTTATTGGCGTCAGCATTTTGGTAAAGCAAAATTGGTACAGTTAGGCCTACGTGAAAGTAATGCTCCTCATCAAGCGGTTTGACGAACGCCATCGAACCCAATCATCAGACATAGTAAGAGCTAACACATGATGCAATCAAGAAGTTATTAAGCTTATATATTCTAATAACTTTTTGGTTGAAATTTCATGCTCTTCCCCCACATAATGTACTAACACATTTTGAATATAATATGTAGTTATAGATCAGTGCACTTTTTCACATTTCAGATTGCCAATAATAATATGGATTCGAGATATTCAGTAATAGGCCATGGTTGAGGCACATTGGATGATGAATAAACAGAACATTCCTTTAGCAACTGTTTGAATCAGAAAATTTAACTCAACAACATGTAGGTGACTAACGCTGCAAGACATCGCTTCGAGCATCCAAGCATCAAACCAAGTAAGAATTAACAATATGAACCATGATATGCATTTCTTTCAGCTTCTCCACCTCGTCTATTAATCTGCGTGCGACTGCCCATTACCAACCTTAAATAGGTTATTCTTTTTCATTTCAGATAAATACTAACTAGTACGGTCATCGTCGAATACTGGATGTGTAAAAACTATTTCTTATCCATGCTTATGTCATCTTTGTTGTTCTATTGTAACATTCTATTTCATTTTATTTTTTAGATATACTTACGGTCACCTTTCATGGATATGCGAAACCTGAATCTGTTAACAAGTATACGGCAAAATAATTTCTTTTGTGATTTGTTTCTGAGAAATATTAATTAATATTCAATTATTTTATTCTTTAATTTCAGATACTGTCACGGTACTTTTTGAAAATGGGATGCGCTTACTAAAATAAAGTATTGCTTTATGCTGTGGTGTGTTGTGTTATTTTAAATTATTTTATTACACTGCATACATTTGTGCAACATTAAATAATTTCTTTTGCGCTATTCTTTTTTCTAACGACATCTTGGTTTGTGTTGTGTAAAGTAGCTTTATAACCTTTAATTCTATTTTATCATTTCAGATACATCTACATTTACCTTTTGCAAAATCGCCAAATGTCGACACATTCTGAAAGTTTCTATCTGTAAGGGGGTTCTTCGGGCCATGGTTATGAAATGCAAAAATTAAATATGTTAATGAAGGCGATTATGCTAAGAAAGAACTTTAGGTGGGACCACGCCCCCGGACAATTGGACAAGAAAAGAAACCATCTACTGGACCTCGATGTAATAAACATATAAAGCAGGAAAGACTGATTTAGTCCAATGACTATTGCTGGGAAGGAAGAAGGGAGAGCCCAGAAGATATCCACCCAAATATATAAACATGATGAGAGTCCAAAAGATATTCACCCAAATATATAAACATGATTAACATTAACGTCCACAAAACTATAAAAGAAAGAAAAAAAATCACAAACATTGAATGATATTCCTGAAAATATCAAAATAAAGATATACTGCATAATTCTGTCATAAAAATGGTCATTGCTTACATCAACTCTGACCTATCAATACATTAACATAAGCCTAAGCAATACCGCATATTGTTCCCTGGAGTAATTATTGGAAAGCTCAAATAAGTTTTAAAAATGAAATTAATTTTCAACATCGGACACTATTGAGTGCAGATCAGTTTTACCATATTTTTTTTCATCACATTTTCTAACAGCTATTTCATGTTCTATCCTCTCTCGTACGAAATCCGATAATTATAGTTGAACTAATTATACAATTTAGGCCTTAGTGGTATTTTGAGGTTGAATAACTAAGCTAAGAGATTACTTAATGACTACTTAATGCTGCAGCTAAACTATAATTAGGTTAGATTTTAGCTCATCTAGAGTAAGTTAAAAAGCCGATTTCATAAAAGAGAGGAGAGGATGCTAACTTTAAATATTAATTTCACATTCGATTTAACATCTGATTAACCTGTCAGGAGATCTGCATTCATTTGCTGTCTACATAGAAATATTTAAACCTATACATTTTTCAATTATAAGTTGTGTACTCACTTTGTCAGCGGTTATCTTACAGTAAATATGCCAATTCACAACTCCCTGCTTGAAGAAGCTATTATTTTATTAGGTCTATCAGTAACACTTTATAAATACAAGCCTTCATACATTGAACAGTATATACACAAATGGATACGGTACAGACTAGTTAGTTTAATGACGAGTGTTGACATTGTAAGATATTGTGCAATTTTACAAGTAAGGGGGAGGGGGTGTCATACTGTTCAACCTGCACGTGGTGACCCTGTTGCAACTGTTCCAGTTAACAATAACAGCAATTTGAATCCATTTCGCGATTATTCGCTAAAGGAAGCTACATTAACACCTCTGTAAGGCTCCTGGATTATGGAATCGCACGAACGAACGAGGAAGAATGCAACCAAACAAGTTTTTTTTTTTAAGTCCATGGCTGCTTGTGAGAAAGGACTGCTATCTATGTTATATGTACTGTGTGTATGTATGTATTATGGTATGTGTGCATATATATTGTGTAAGTATATGTATAAGTGTGCATATTGCATGTTTGTGTGTACGTAAATGTATACAAGAACGTAATAACCTATATTTACTATATGCTTAATTGTTATGTTCTTCATTTTACATGTTTTGATTGATCCAAATGGACACTCTGAAATTGATCTCCTCCTCCTCTGCACGGTATAAATTGATACCTTTGGACAATGTGTGAAGATCTGGAGTTACCACTGGGCTGGATCTATATACAGTAGATTATAGTAATCCGTACATTTGATGCTTTGTTTATTGGCGTCAGTATTTTGTTAAACCAAAATTGGTACAGATAGGCCTGTGTGAAAATAATGCTCCAATAATGCGATTATAATATGCAATAGTGATGTCAATTAGAGAATTGGTGTAAATGCTCAGTTAACATACCAATTTGTGTAACATTTTTTTCATATATTTTATATTAACTGTTGCTATGCTTTTTACTACCAAATATTCGCATGATTGTCAATAAAACTATGTTGTCATTTCTTCATTTTCATTTGTACCTCTGGATATTCTCCTACAAGTGCGGCAGAATTCTAGAACGATGAATGTTACAGTAGCTCTTCGAAAACAAGAAATGTTACGCGAATGTAAATGATTTTCAACAACTGAGTAATTATAAGGTATGAATTATTTTGCATTTATTCTCAAATTTTTCTTAGAATTTCAATTTCGACTAAGAATCAGCATAACGAATAGGCCTATAACATCCAAAGTGTCAAATGCAACGTAATACAGTATGCGGATGTTACACTTGCACAACATTTATTCCATATTTGTTATTTTTTACCCCAAGTACTTCAGACTTACAGTAGGACTACACTCGTATTAAATAAAGATAATTTATTAATATTGGCCAATAGCTTTGTTTTTAAATAAAGTCAATTCTAGCTAATCCTAACTTTTCAGTTTAGAACCTTATCATACATCAATATGAATGCCATTTTTTTGTCCTAATACTTCTGTACTTATAGCTTTCTTAAACTAACCAAATGTATTTTTTTTACAAGATTCTATTCTACTTCGCAGTGATATGCATTTCAGAAGACCTCGAATGGCAGATGAGCGGTTGTTTTTCGCTGTTCGTGTGATGTGTGACACTCTCTATCGTCCGATACTGAGGAGGTGAAACCATAGTGGGCGACTCAATAATGATGACACAAACGCTATCTTGTCAACAAAATACAATAACATAGAATGGCATTTAAATTGTCTGGCTTAGTTAAGAAAACTGGAGAAGAACATGCGTTAAAGCATGATAAAGCAACTGTCCTATACACCACACAGTCACACCAATCTATCCGAGTACCAATTTTGTATACTTGATACTTGTACACTCAGGAATAACATTCAAGTATATCCTTGCATACATTGAATTTAACGGAAATTCTTTAATTATTTAGATGTACCCTAATCCATCCAAGTTTAATACATGAAACGACAAATCAACACCATGTAATAATATTCTAAAACATTTCCTAAAACATTACAAATTTGAATTTAAATTTCAGTTTCCAACATCGGACCAAAAATTAAGCACCCAAACAGGACATGTCGTTGAACGCAGATTTATTTCAGTTTAACTACTAATTCATATTTTCTGTTTGCTATCTTGATCACTTTAAACTACATTATAACTCATTATTTTTCCATCCTCTCCTGTATTGAAATCGGCCGGTTTATTTAAACATACATAAGGATAAGTAGTACCGTATAGTGTAAGTAGTTAAGTTATAGAGCGAAGGTTGATTTAGGTACGAGTAGGCCTAGGTAACCCGATTTCGTAATCAAGGGGATAGTTATTTAAACATACATAAGGATAGGTAGTATAGTGTAAGTAGTTAAGTTATAGAGCGAAGGTTTAGTTAGGTACGAGTAGGCCTAGGTAACCTAGGAGGGGAATGGATGATAACTTCATTTAACAAAATATTCGCACCTAACATCAAAGCATGTGCGCCTCATTTACTAACATGGGGTCAGGAAAGGAGCGTTCACGTCGCGGCCCTGTTCCTACCAATCCTTTCATCACTGTAACGAAAATCGTATCGTCAGTTTTAAAACTAAATCAATATAGCTCCAGAGAGTATGAATTCGATAAAAAGGTCTCTAAACTTCATTTAACTTGGATATTAGTAACTGACTAACACATCATCAGATCTGCGTTCAATTTACTGTCCACCAAAATCTCAATTTATATTAAGTAATTAATATATTAATAATAATTATTTAATTTATTTTTATTAGATTAAATTGTGCATCCATATACAGGCCTTATTCAACATTGTTATTTTACCACACCCAGATTAAATAGTAATTTTATTATTACACCGCAAAGGCCCTAACAAGACAAAAACCAGTTCCTGAAACAAGTATCAAAGTAAGCAATTGATTACTACACCTCCTGGTTGATTGAAGTGTTGTATTTAATTTTGATATATTCGAATAGCCGTCAACTCCGAGTACTCCACATGATGAATGAAATAATGAAATAAAGTAATGAAAGATAAATAAATACAGAAACTGTGTCGCTGTTTGCGTTTAATTTTGAATGAGTTTTGTACAGTGGTGGCACCAGGATTTTCCCGGTGGGGTTGTTGGGGGCTGGCGGCAACGTACTGGGCATGTGGCCGATTACCCGCCGGGAAGGCGGATTTCCTCGACAATTGCATAAGCTGGTGGGGCAAGGGCAGCCTAGAATCTCTGTGTTCCATGACTAAGCCTCTAAAAACCTTATTAAATCAGGTCATATTTTGTATAAACTACAATTAATATTTTTTCTCTTCCACAAATTGTCTTCTGCCCGACAGGTGAGGACTTGGCTTTCGCTCCCCTTCACTAGCGCCATCACCGATTGTGTTCTATAATATTAGATGGCTCATCCTCTTTAAATAAGATGTAATAAACAATAAAATCCTTCTGGAGCCATTAACTGACAACGTGAAACCTCCTTCCAAATAACTTGGACATGAAATTAAGGTCAAGAAGGTATACCTCTATTACATTCGATGAAAAAACAAATATTTAATATGATGAAAGTGGTAGCTGAATGCAGGAGGGGAACACAAGTGGGGAATTTACATGAATGGATGGGCGAGCAAAATAAATTTAAATATAAATATTATATACAAGATTATTAATGTCTAGTCGTTTTCTTAATTTGTCACTTGAATTATTTACTCATACACATTTGAATAAGAATTCAGCAAAGCATTGGGATCAACTATCAAAAGTTTTTTATTCACCATCACGTTCGATAACATGCTTGCATGCATTTTAGTTCTTACCGGAGGCGGAGCTTGTCTATCCTGAGATTGTACAAACCAAACTTATCTTATACCGGATTTTCCGCCCTAGGATCTCTCTTTAGCATCCTAACCAATAATCTAATTATATATTTTTAACTGTGTATGTCCGTATTAAGGTCAATCGACATGCACAAACATTTACACAACATAGTTTTATGCCGATTGACATAGAATACATGCGTTGTTCAAAGCTACGGCGAATTGACTTATTACAATTATTACATTATCATATCATAGGCCAATGATGATGCAAGCTTTCATATTTAAGCCATATCACAATGCATGATCCTAATTATGAGTATGTCAACTGTGCACCAAAATACAATGAATGAATAATTACTTTGTATACCCACCTGGTAATGGAAATGAGTATTAGAAAACACTATGTCGTCGATTCAAATAACTATAATTTGAATATTATACAACATTTGAATAAAATACAACATATTAATATAGGAACACAGACACACACACACACATATAT